GTCATATGTATAATCAGATGTATATTGACAAACGTAATTAAAGAAGGATGCAAAAACTTGGTTAGATTACAGATCTTGTACTTCTCCTTATCCTTATTCTCTTGCAATGCTATCCCACAATTGATAAAGGGAAAAAAAAAAAAGCAGGATGGGAGGGAAAAAGTAGGCAGCAATGAAGAAGAGGCAAGGGATGAAAACAAAAACTACCCAAGTGCATAAACTTCTAGAACAGAATCAGAAAGGGCCTGGGTACCAAAATTAAAAATAAAACTGAACATCAACACATCCTTTTCCCTGTTGAAATGCTTGTTCCAAAAGCTAAGCAGCTTATTTTTAAATAAGCACGCAAATCTCAACTGTACACGTGCAAGCATTTTTCTTAATGTGACATTACCATTAAATGTACAATATGATTATACACATAATTCTAAAAGAAATTCATAGTAAAACTACTTTTAAATACTTCCATATACCACTCTGCATCCTGTCATCATTCCAAGTGTTTTTAGTGAAACATATGAGCTCATGAAAGGCACTAAGTACATAAATTGGTCACAGGACAGTAGATTTGCAAAACCACCTTCCAGTTTTGTCCTGCCTCTGATGTATGTTAGGGAATTCCCAATCAAGATGCACAGCCTTTCTGCAGCATTTAGAACTGAAATGACCTTTACACATTCCATTAATGATCTACATCATCCTCAACATACATGTCTTTCAGAAGATCAAATGAAATTATAGGTACAGTCAAGTACGCCAATTTAGATTTATTTTGCTAAATGGATACAAAAGTGCTTTTAAAAATGAGGATATATTTGCATAATAAGCAAGAAAAAAGAAAAGCTTCCATTAAAATCAATAGAGGCTAAAATACCCAAACAGAAATACTGTAATATCCTACTGGAAAGATTTTTTTTTCTTTGCACTCTATCATTTCCAAATGAAAATATTCAAACAACAATTAGGTATCACCATTAACTTAATCGTGCTCAGCAAACTGCAATTTCAGTGTATTTTTGAAAGAAAGTATTCTTCAGTACCCTTGCAAAAATAACTTTCCATGTTAGAAGGCAGCACATTCTGGAAGATTAAGTACAGGCTGGAAGGGAGGAATTCAGGAATTCAAATCCTTTTTGCAAGGTGGAGAGTCACACACCCCCCAGTTCATTTCTGTGTTAGGTTTCCATTCTGCAGATGAGTGTACTTACCTCACTCACCACCAACAAACTAGTTCTCTGTATAAGGGTCTTAGAACCTCTGCCTCAACAAAACCTTCCCCCTCCAGAGACAGTAAATCCTGCTATGGCAGATATGTCTCATTTTTTTCCAAATAATAACACAAAGTGCCTGTAATTTTAAATTATGTGTCTAAAGCATATATAATGGAATTAACTTTATCTTAGCGGGTGTGTGTCTGCCTGTAAGAAAATTTTCCTTTAAAATCAATAGAGAGAAACAGGACTCAATAAAGAGCAATTTCTCTCAGACTAAATAGATGAGAAGGATTGAGCCACTGAAGCACCTGTTTCCCTCTACTGCCTATACAGGCAGAAACAAAGATCATTTCTCCTTCAAGGATCTGCACAGAAAGTAAATGAAGGTTCCTGCTCACGATAAACGCATTACAAGCCTCAGTCTTAAAGGCATTCAGGCTTATGCTTAATTTCACCACAGCAAGTAGTCCTACTGATTTCCTACGTAGTACTAAATGAACTTTGTGGGCTCAGGTTACTAAAAAAATTTTCATCTTCAGTGCCATCATGCAACACATACAGGACAACTAGGTGACTGGGCCCAGTCAGCATGATCTCTTTAGCACCTTGCTTGACAGAGCCCCTTGGGAGGTAGTTCTGAAGGGCAAAGCAGTCCAGGAAGGCTGAACATTCTGCAGGAAGGAAATCCTACAGCTGCAGGGGCTGTCCATCCCCACATACCATAAGACCAGCTGGTGGCGAAGAACACCAACCTGGCTAGACCGAGAGCTTTGGCTGGAACTCAGGAAGAAAAGGAAAGTTTATGGCCTATGCAAGAAGGGGCAGGCCACTCAGGAAGACTACACGCTATGCAGGGAGAAAACTAGAAGGGCCAAAGCCCAACTAGAACTTAATCTGGCTACTGCCGCAAACAATAAAAGACATCTCCAGTAAAAGGAGAATCTCCAGCCTTTATTGGATGCAGGGGGAAAACATAGTGATCAAGGAGGAGGGAAAGGTTGAGGTACTTAATGCCTTCTTTGCCTCAGTCTTTCATGGTAAGACCAGTTGTCCTCACGGTGCCCTGCTCACTGAGCTGGAGAACAGTGATGGGGAGCAGAATGAACCCTCATAAACCAAGAGCAAATGATCAGTGAGCTACTACACCACTTAAACATGCACAAGCCTCAGGGGCCAGATGGGATCCACCCCTCATAAACCAAGAGCAAATGATCAGTGAGCTACTACACCACTTAGACGTGCACAAGCCTCAGGGGCCGGATGGGATCCACCCAAGGGTACTGAGGGACCTGGCCGAAGTGCTCACCAAGCCACTTGCCATCATTTATCAGCAGTCCTGCCGACCCAAGGAAGGTCCCAGATGACTGGAGGCTAGCAAATGTGACGCCCAGCTACAAGAAGGGCTGGGAGGAGGATCCAGGAACTACAGGCCTGTCACTCTGACCTTGCTGCCAGGGAAGGTCATGGAGCAGATCATCTTGAGCACCATCCCACAACATATACAGGACAACCGGGAGATCGGGCCCAGCCAGCATGGCTTCATGAAAGGCAGGTCCTACTTGACTAACCTCATCTCCTTCTAGGACAAGGTGACCTGCTTCATACACCAGGGAAAGGCTGTGGATGCTCTCCACCTAGACTTCAGTAAAGCTTTGGACA